TTTGCTATTATAGGCCTAATCAATAAATTCCTCATCAACCGATATAACCTTAAACATTCTTGGAATTGATATAACATTACTGATGTCGTACTATACACACCCTTCAGTGTGAAATGTGGCTCTCTTTGCAAGCACATCTAACATCTAAGGAAAGAAGAGCTTAGATTGGTACCAGATAAAATAATTTTGTTATCAACAATATTACATTATGCTAATTTTCATCTTTGTAAGCGCATAAGACAGTGCAAATTATTTCTGTGACAGTCTTTTGAAGTGTGTAAAGCTGCATTTTATCCCATACATAGTCAAAATATTGGGGGGGGGGATGATACAAGGGACCACCCCCCCCCTTGTCAAATGATGGGGGGATATATCCCCTCCATCCCCCCCGGGATCTACGCCTATGGCTGGGTTGATTCTCGAACGAGAAAACGAAATTGACTCAAGCTACATGACCTTCTTTATACATTTAATAAAACCAATTTCTTCTAATTTTAAATACATTTTCCCTTGAATTCGTTATCACGCACAGACTTATGCTAAATGCGTGACAAATTTATGTCCGTCCGCGATTTTTTTTCCGTACGAAACATTTACATGAAACTCCACTCGGGCTGTCTCAACTAAATCGACTCGAAAATCTCCTATTGCAGAATTCAGGAGGTCAAAAGGTCACCAGCAGATAAACGTCTACAAAACAACTTTTGAGAGAACGTTGCTGTCTGATTTTTAAAAATTCATTTATGTTACCATGCTATACTAATGGGTCGTTTAAATATATAATAGGCCCTATTTGATTGAGCTGCACGAGTGATGAAAAGTGTTATTTGAATTTGAGTTACCGTACTCGCGCGAATAAGCTTAAAATATTTTTGCACTTTCTGAGGAGCGCTTATTTAAACGGGGTGCTTATGAAAACAGAGTGATAATTGCTTATGGAAATAGATGAAAATCGAGAGGTTCTTATGGGAAATTATTAAATTCAACAGGCACTTTTTGAATGGAAAAGACAGAACGAATGGTGGTTAGGCGGAAAATATAATCCTCAAGAGAACATGGCTCATGACAAGAATGCGTGAATATTTACATAACAGCAAAATAGCAGATGCAATTAGTGGTGGTGGATAGTGGTTAGCTTGTTGGCCATCGGCCGATTGAGATTAGCAGGATGGCAGGATCATTGTATTTTCTCTTGAAAACTCAGATATAATATGTTAAAGGTCGGAAAAAGAAAAAGTGCAGTAGGACTAGGTATAGACAAGTATGTAAAAAGTGTTAAGTTGGAAATACTGCTAGTCCAGGGATAGGAGCTCTCATCTTTCCAAGAGAAATATCCTCATTTTGATATTGACCTAAAAAGAATGTGTTTCCACTCTGCAGCTCAAATCATGCCAACAACAACAGTCCAGGATTGATTGGATTATTGACTTGCTAAAAAAAAAATCTTGTGATATTACTGACGGGGCGCTAATTCAAATTCAAACGGGGCGTTTAAGGAAATTTTCACATTAGGAAGGGCGGTTATTCAAACGGGGCGCTTATTCGCGCGAGTACGGTACATACTGTAACGATTTTTATTTTTTTAATTAGGTCTGGGTTTAAATCTAGGTGCATAATTACCTAGGCCTACTAACTACTAAAAACTATACCCTTTCAGGGGAAAGCACAAAGAGGAAGGGAAAGCGCGTTTCTTCATCAAATTAATGAAACAGGGTGACAGTTATTTTCAAATTAAGAAAAGAGCTGAGAATAAGCAGCTCTCTAAAATACTGGATGCCATAAGACCTGGAAAAATGACAGAGCATCAATGAATGTATGAATGAGGCCTAGCCTAGTAATATTAATATTTTTATAGGCATAGTAAATAGTATCTGCAGGTTCTTGATTGCAAGGCTTAGACCAATTAGTTAATTAATGATTATTATCATTATTATTCATTACTATTATTAATTATTATGTTACTAAAACCTACCTTACGGGGAACTTAAAAATGGAGAATTTAGAGAACAATTAAAAAAAACGACGTTAAGGGGAAATAACACAAAATGTATTCCCATTGGACTAGTTATTAAATATAGGCCGAGTAAATAGTATCTGTAGGTTCTTAAAGGCTTTGGCCAAGTTAATTCGATGCTGAAATGATTATTATTATTATAATTTTTGGTATCGCGCATTGGATCAATATCCAATGGAATTACGTTATTCCTGAAGCTTGGTGACAACAAGTCTCGTCAAACTTCTAGTAGGACCTTCCTGAGGATCCTTGCCGTGTTCAGAATCACGCTTTTCTAAAGTTCATCTTTTCTGGTTTCTACATCGATTTGTTCTCAGTCTTTTCTTTAATTATTATTATTATTATTATTATTATTATTATTATTATTATTATTATTATTATTATTGTTGTTGTTGTTGTTGTTGTTGTTGTTGTTGTTGCTGTTGCTGTTGCTGTTGTTATTGTTGTTGTTGTTGTTGTTGTTATTGTTGTTATTATTATTATTATTATTATTATTATTATTATTATTGTTATTATTAATTACATTACAAGGATAGTTTGGCCAAGTTCAATAATGCCGGTATAATTTTTTTTTAAAAATTATTATTTAATAATATTTCTCTTATGCACTCTATTTTTTATTCCATGCTTTAATTTTTCCTCCCAATTTTTTCAAAATTTCAATCAACGTCATGTGAAGCGTGACTATTGGTGTCAGCCTAGGCCTAGTTTAGGGAGGGGCCTAGGTAGGACTTAACTCAGGGGGTACTACACTTTATAAAAGGGGGTACTAGCTTTTGTTGTAGATATTATACTAATATAACATTAACATACAAGAAGGTCTATGGCGGTTCAACTGTGTCATAATTACTACACGTACTACGCGTAGTACGTGTAGTAATTATGACACAGTTGAACCACCATAGAACTCGAGTCGAGTCAATCCGAGATGGCCCGAGTGAAGTTTCATGCAAATGTTTCGTACGAAAAAAAAAAATCGCGGACCGTCCCGCACGATGCGAAATGGTTGGTAACTTTGAAAAAAATTGTGTGGGACTGTTCCAACAGCTGGCTACGGCATTGATCGTCACAAAGAAACATTATTGTAAGCATTCACCGTTTGCCGAGTCGTCGGTGGCATCAGTTCAAACAACTCTAAGGACAAAAAGTCTGTCGCCCTCTCAAGAAATAATATATGATTGCTGTCCTTCCTTCTATACTGTACTGTTGCTGACGAGTGGAGCTTGTTTGCTGTTGTTGGTCTTGGCGTTGTTGTTAATTATTATAGTTGTAGTATGAATCGCCATAGAGCAAAGGTTATATTGTTTCTGTCATTTGTTACTATTGTCTTACTAATGGTAAGTAATATATTTAGGCATACTGATGTTATCAGTAAGTGGCGTAGCTACTGGCATTGCCGTGCAAAGCACTGGGGGCTAGTGGCTATTTTAGAGGCCCATTCATAAATAGACTTAAACATTTTAAATAATTTCCAACTTAATTTTGAAGAAAAAACGGCCAGCGGGGCCCTAATATTATTCGGTTTTTAAAGAAGAGTAAGCATTGATTACTGAAACTACGCCTTTGTTGTCAACCAGACGTTGGTTACTGTTTTACGCCTTAATGACTTCATAATCTTGGTTTAGAATTATAGCTTTCTGGAATAAGCATTTTAAATATTTAATATACGGGTAGGTGCACGGTGTATTTTTGAGGACTTGGTAGCAAAAGTGGGGGAATTTAACTTTAGGGAATTCCCCTATTACATTAAAGGCCCCGGTAATTGATCTTGCACTTGGGCCCTTTCGCACCTAGCTGCGCCGCTGTCTTCAGTGGGCAATTACCGTAGTACAGATGTCATTAAAGAGTATTTAACTGTGGAATACCGATTGAATCCTGCAAAAACAAATGCCCAAATCCCGCAGGTTTTTAATGCGCTAATCGCATATAGGCCTAAATGGAATTTTCGGACTATTGTATAGAAAACGACGGAAAATTGTAGGCCCGTAGTCAGCATCTACCTACTCTCTAAATGCAAAAGTGTTAAAAAAAATAAAGAGTGAAAGAGTGCCAACAGTGACCACTCTTGACAGGGTGAAATAGAGAGTGAGATGCATGTAATCCAGTTTTTACTGTCATTTTTTTTCTTTCGGTATACACCTTTATTTCAAATCAAGTTGATCAATGTAAAACATTAAAAAAAGGCTATCAAGAGCTCAAAGAAGTATTATAATACACAATAAATGTATTAAAGTAGTACATATATAAAGGACTGTTGTTGTTGAGAATGATTCAACGTTAAATAATAGTGATAATAACTTACATTTGATGATCTTCAACAACACCAGTTCTTTTCAGAACTACTTAGATAGGTGAGACATACATATACTTCACACATATCATCCTTGACAAAATGTTTTGAATACTAAAAAAAGTGCTACAAGACTGGACGCTATCCCCAGCGAAACGTTCATTAGATGAGTCTCTGTAATCCTATTGTGTGAAGTACACGATTGATCGAAATTGTTCTGAAAAAAAATATATTATTACATATAAAGTATAAGGAGAGAAACAAATTTCAGTTTGAATGTATTAATCAATGATTGTTAACACGAAAAAAGAGTGACTTACCCATCCTCCTTTCAAATTTATCCATTCCAAAAATTCCGTCTCTACGAATTGTCTACACTCTGTATTACTTGATCAATCAAATCAGTTCTGTTTCTATCTGTACATAACACGGCTAACTTTGCTCCAAACACAAAAACCGTGATTATACGACCCCAGTTTATAATGTTATCACTAAACATCTTTGTTAAAACGTCTTAATATTCTCATTTGAATCAAGCGATACTTCTCTTTTCAAATTATAAAGATGTTCATCGCACGCTTTATATATCTTTTCTCAATAGGCCTATTTGAAAAAATTACAGTTCATATCCCCTATATATTCCATATCATTGCCTAGTTTATATGCTACAAACGTTGAATTGATTTCTCGTGCAATTCTTTCAGTTTCCATGCTTATATTTTTCCCTCGAATAACGCTATTTCTTCAAAATATATATACCTAAAACGAATACGAAAATTATATGACCTCACTTACGTTTATACCAGTATTATTATCATAATCATTATTATTATTTTTATTATTATTCTCGTTTTGATTCAGACTATTCAAAAAACAAACACGTCATCGCTCAACCAATGAAAATCGTTCTTTACATGAACCAATCAAATTAACTATATATATGAGAAATCTGGACCTATTTTTCTAAAAGTGGACCCATTTTTAAATGTGGACCCATCATTAGAAAAACATAGTTACCAACCTGAGAGATTTTAAATGCGTGACTACACCAGTTAAGTGTGGGGTCGTCAGGCCCCGGGTTTCCAGGGTCGGAACCGCGGTGTGGGCCGGCGACAGGCACATCAACGGCTGGTTGTGACAATGAACGCGCAAGACCGCTCGAAACTGATTCTACTAAATGCGGGCAAAGATATAGAAACACAAGATAGAGCACTCGCTAGTGGCGTATCCAAGGGGCCCCCCTCATATTTTGGTCGCGCCTCCTCCCCCATTTTAATACTGCTAGATACGCCACTGGCACTCGCATGGTATAAAAATGAGGCGGAAATCGTGCCCGACGTAGGCGGCGCCCTTCTTTTTAACCATGCAAGTTTTATATACTTCGTGCCCGACGTACAGGGTGCCCTTCTGTTGCTAAGTATATCCAGACGCACACGGTGCCCTTCTTTTTCCACTAAGGAAAACTTCATCACTAGTGCGTCCGTCCGGCCATACGATTTTACCCTATATTATTGTTGTTTTCTATACTGATCCATAGGCTTAATTGTGTGTTTTATTTAGATAATAGCAATGATTTCTACCTCCGCCAAGGAATTATGTATTCACCGTTGTCACTGTCTGGGTACAATTGTACTAATTGTACAATTGAATACAATTTTTTAATTGAGAATTGACAACAAAATACGCGACGACTTGGTAACGAAAGTTTGGTTGAAGTTTTTTTTAGATCCAGCCGTAAGGGGCGTCCCATTGTTTGTATTCCCACCATGCATTTCGGTGGGTATAAATAACACCTGTCTCTTATACACATCTAGATGTGTATAAGAGACACGCATAAGACAGTGCAAATTATTTCTGTGACAGTCTTTTGAAGTGTGTAAAGCTGCATTTTATCCCATACATAGTCAAAATATTGGGGGGGGGGATGATACAATGGACCATCCCCCCCTTGTCAAATATTGGGGGATATATCCCCTCCATCCCCCCCGGGGTCTACGCCTATGTTTGTGGTAGGAGGTTTTGCTGAAGAGGCTAGAAATCCCCTTGCTACAAGCCATAAGTCCATCAATTTTTTTTATTAATCAAACTATCTACCTGCCATAAGCGGCCTATGAATATTCTTTAACATCATCATATACCTTGTCAAGAACAATCTAATATTAGCATGATTTTTTTTTACTTCCTTTTAGGGTATCATTAATAAATATGGAAATACAGGTCTATTGAAAGTACCAAAGACTGTCTGGCCAACCAAGTCTGATTTAAAGGGTAGACCTACAGTCCATATGTTTCCAACATTTACGGAAACAGAAGCAAAACATCGAGAAGATCAAGTTTTACCGGTATTTACAAACACTGATGGAGTTGGCTCGATGGGATACACAGATCCAACAAAGAGTACATTCTCAGTTAAATACGGAAAACCAATTGTATTTGGCGAGTTCTTTAGCATCATCATCGAAGCACGCGACGCAAACGGTCGTCATCGTGTCCAGGGCGGTGACTTTTGGTACGCAGTCGTCTCAACTGGAAAGAGGTTTGCTACTGCAGGAAAAGTTATTGACTATAAAAATGGAACGTATGAGTTAGTCTTTTTCGCTGGTTGGCACGGAGAAATGACACTGAACATCAAACTTGTGCTTACAAGCGAGGCTGTTCAGTTTTTTCTACATGACATATGGCACAGGGCAGGCCGCAAAGTATGGGGAGGACAATTTAAAGATGGAGAGCTTTTAGAGAGGTCGTTATGTAGATTAGAAACAAGAGGTGTCTGGCATGATAAATGTGAATACCCGAATCCACTGGCGCTCGGTGGAAGTTTTGTGATGCTTTGTGATCGCCCACCGACTTTGCCATGCTCATCGTTTTACGCTTTTCATTCAAGATATAAGCCTGCTAAAACTGAAGTTGAAGTAAGATATTCTTCAATACGAACCACACATAGCGACTTCTTTACAACGTGAGTTTTCAGTGTAGCCACACTAATAATTATGCTTATTTTTGTCAGTTGCGGTAGTTTTATTTGTCCTCTTGGAAATACTAACTACGATCAAGCTAGACTACTGGAGAATATTACGATTTTATCCGTTTTTTAGAATACAGATGTTCTGTATGTAGGGCCTTTAAGCATTTTTATTAGCATGTCATAAGCATGAGATTGTTGTTATTATTAATACTCGCAAAAAGGACGCCTTCGGCGGCCTTGCGAGGCTGTGAGCAGCGGTGAGGTACTGGGGCGAGACCAGATATTTGCAGTAGGGAGTGCAGAAAGAAGGAAACTCCTGTATAAATAACACAAGTATAAATGAATTGTGAACAGTGGCGTAAAGGCCTATGTGCTCTCGAGGCGGTCCACAGGGTCCCCGACCTCAAATGGTCGCTCTATCACTCTAACCAAAAAGGGTTTTGTTGATACATAACAGCATAATGTGTCTCTGACATCGACTGTGGGACATATCATTGTTATATCCAGTGTGGCGGATTAAAGGGCGCCCTGCTGACCTAGCCCCCACTAAATTTGTCAATTTAAAAAAATTGAGGTAAAAAGAAAATTATATTCGTGTTTTAAGACTCAGAGTGGCATTTCCCACCACAATTATAAATGTTCCTACCTCAGCCCCAACCATGGGGGGGGGGGGGCGTGGGGATAAGGTCGTATAACCCTCCATCTCTAAAAGTTCCTCACTGCCTCCCCCCCCCTATTTAAAATTTCTGTATCCGCCACTGATATTATATCATTTATTTGTCGTTTAAAACATTTAGAATAACAATGATTGAATATGAGCACATCTAAAATCCACTCCTAAACCCCCACTCCTAAAGAAGAAAAAAAGCTGCTCACCATTTACCTAACATCTGTACACTACTTTGCCAGCTCAAAAACACTCTAACATGTTAGGGTGATGGGGGAGGTCTGGACGTCGACGAACATCACCCCCTATGGACCAGGAGTATCATTTAAATAATCATTCTGTGAAGACCAGTAGGCCAAAAATATTTTAAAGCATAATATTGAATATTGCTACGTATTTCACTGTATTTTTAAAAGACATTTGCAAATGAAACCCAAATTACCTTTAAAATAAATACCGGTAAAGAAGAACATTAGCCAAAAATTTTGTTTGAGTCAGGCTCCGGAGGAAAAAACAAAAAGACAAAAAACAGTTGTTCGACGAAAAACTAGGGAACGGTTAATGAGATACAGATTTTCATCACGTATTGACTTAGTTTAGTGGTTAACATGGTCACTTTATAATATTAAATTTAATTCCATTATATTTAGTGAACATTATACGCGTTTTTATCAGCCGCACTCATTGAAGTGGTACGTCCACTTACCTACTACAAACTAAATACTCTGCTACTCCTTTCACTGTACTAAGTAATTTGAATAATTTATTCTCGGACTCCTAATGATGAAATAATTAATGTCGAAATATTGAATCCTGACACGATGGCGTGCATTTCGATACTTGGAGTATGTAGGCCTATTATACTACCTTATCTGAGATTGATCAGTGGCCTTTTCGGAATTCTCACATTGTGTTGCTTTTGTAGTGTCTTCGTCTAATATTTTATGTAGACTCGTGTTATTGAGAAAAAGTTAATTTTTACGATATATGGACATAAATAGGAACTCAAAATATACAATTAACGGTAAGACATTTAAAAGAATGGTGCTACGATATATTTCTTCCAGGGCTGCGCACGCGTCTTGACGGTAAATCGGCACAAACATTTTGTCCTTAGCGTATGATGATACCATTTTTGTGGATCATGATAATAGTTGGGGTTTTGGATGACATTTTTATTATTTATTTTCAGAAAAGCAAATTTCGCTCCACTTCAAAATGGAACAATTCAATTGAAAAGTGAAACAAGTAAGGTGTACCTTTATTTATTTTATGCATTACTTAACATTCAATAATTAGTTTATTGTTTTTAAGGATACCCACAACGGGATGCAGTCCTCCTCGCGATCTTTCCATTTCTTTCGTATCTGCTGCTTCTCATGCCCATGTTGTGCCTAGGTACTTCACCTTTTTTTTATTGCCAACAAAATAGATTGATAGGTAGAAATCAAAATATTGACAATATTTGATAAGGTATAGCACAAAAACTAACAAACGCTTAATAACACTGACTTGATAATTTTTTAGCAAAATAATTATTTTCTGGCACAAAGGTAAGATGTTCAGCCTTTCTTCGTCGTTTCCAATCCTCGGTTATTTTTCCATTGTTCATTTTTGTCACTTTGTTATTATTATCGATTATTACACTGTAGTATCCTTCGAACATGACGGCCAATAGATTGTTTTACACATATAATTTCTATAAGTAAATTTTACTATATTATAGGGTCGTTTCTCAACAGTAGCCTATACCGTATAAAATATAACAAATCAATCATTAGGCCTATTTTTTTTATTATTGTTAATAATGTTAGTCGTCTTAAATTATTACTGTATATACGGTATTATTTAAAACTGTTTGCTTTTTTTTACCTATTTATTTGTTTCTAATAATAGATGGAAACTTCACAATCGAATCCGTCATAAACTCATTAAATCTACAAAAATGCCGACCGGATATACCAGAACCTTTGAGTGACGGATTCTGGGAAAACAGTACATGGCACTCATTTGCATGCAATGCAAAATTATGGACCACTGATGAGATTAAAGTTTGTATAAAAGGAAAGAATCTTATTTTCATGGGTGATTCAACGACGCGACAGTGGTGTGAAAAATTACTTTATTACTTTGGCCTAGGCCTTCCAAAAACTTATTCAGTAGGATCAATATATGTACAAAATGACATTATAAACATGACTTTTAGGTTCCATCCTTACATTTTGAGTTCCAGATTGGAATTGAAAGATTTTGGGAAATTCGAGGTTGACCAATTGGATTCGTTACCAAATGACACGTGCGATTACATTATCATGATAAGTCCATGGGCCCATTATGATTTTTGGACCAAAGAGGCATATAAAACTCGTCTTAAAAACATTCGTGCAGGAATAATCAAATTCCGAAAACGGTGTCCAGAATCAGTTTTTGTTATCAAAAGCCCACATCCGAAACAAGAACGTGGTCCCAGCAAGGGAGAAATAACTGGATGGCTTGCAAGTGATGTGCTCTACTATCAGTTTCGAAGACTATTACGTGAGACATTTTCAGGAATTAGCGTTCATTTCATAGATATTTGGGACATGAATCTCTCGTATTACACTCCTAATACAATACATATGCCAATGGACGTTTTATTACAAGAACTCTTTATGTATTTTTCTCATGTATGTTCCAATTGACCTTGTAAGCCTGTATCAGAACATGCATTTTTGTCACAATTAAAACACGCCTTGTAATAAGAAAGATTATATCTTTATCCTGAAAAACTTTACACAAAAAATACAATAGCAGTGGGCTGAATTGATGCATTTTTTACAATATACATTTTTTTTACAATAAAAGTTATATTAATATTGAAACATGCAAAGGACAAAAAAAATGCATAAAACAAAATAGTTATAAAAATATATATTTTTAAAGTGTGTTTTCATTATAGATGATTCGATTATTTAACAATCGAGTTAGATAAGGCAAAGGGCGTTTAGTTTTACAGTAATATTCTTGATATGCATTATTATGTCTAAGGACCATTTGGGAAACTGCCTTACCAGGTTTGAAACCAACCGGGCTATAGTTGGATCCGGATTTAGCAGATTTTTCAGCGAAGTCTTTACATAACTTGTTTAGTTATATTTGTAGTTTGTAGTTAAGATAAATTGTGATCCCAGCCCCGAAACCTTGACTCAGAAATACTGGGATGGTGTCCGGCGGGGGATAGTTTCTACCATTTTTATCTATTTAATGTACAGTATTTGTCCTCCTTGTAATCCCGGCCCCTAAACCTTGACTCAGAAATACTGGGTTAGTGTCCGGTGGGGGATAGTTTTTATCATATTGTAATTAAGTTATGTATAAGCTTAACCTTGAGCGGTAATTCCTGGCCTCGAAACCTTGACTCAGAAATACCTGGTTGGTATCCGGCGGGGGATAGTTTTTCACCAAAGTTTTTACTATTCATTTTATTGTACTGTGCTGGTCCCATTTTAGGTCTGGTTGGATTATAACCCCAAATAATTTAACCTGACTGACAATCTCCAAATGATGGTCATATAATGACGATTTGGGCAGTTGTATATGCTGTTTGCCAAAATACACTTGCATAATATGATATTTTTTAGGATTTAATTTTAGATTATGACAGGTTTGTTTCTATAAGATGCTACACCCTGTCCTGCAGTATTTTTAATCTGAGAGTGCCATTTCCAGCCATCTAGAGGTGCCATAATCATAATTTGTTCAAAACTATCCGCCGCCGTTGAATGTAGGCCTATAGCCATACAAAATTTTATCTGGAAATCATCAATGTTTAAGAGGATTTAACCCCCATATTTCACTTCCATATAAAATAATTGGGATATTTTTTACATCAAATAGACGATTCCAAATACCAACTGTATTCGTGTAAAATATAGAATTGCTTATCATAGACAAAGAAGAATTATTGTAGGCCAGATGAAGAAGACAGTGATGCGTGTAATATCGTTACCAAGATACGATCGACCCTATGCCAATAAGTAACGGCTGAGAGAATTTTAAAACAAAGAGAGACTCCATCGCCAATGACCAGCAGTTGACCAATTAATTGATCGCATTAAGGTGGAGAGATGAAAATAATATCATTAACAAGGACAGATCGCCTTATTTGCTAATATTTTCTTACCTCAGCCTCAAACATGGTGGGGCTAAGGTGGTCGATACTCCACCTGTAAATGTCCCTCCCTGTTCCCCCTCTATTTCGAATTCCTGGATCCTGTATTTTAAAAATGTAGTGTGGAAATAAATGTTAATTGCATCCTTTAAAATCAATTAGATACAACTTATAAAAGGTTATAGACATCAGAGTTTCCGGGTGGGGGTGGGGCTCCGCCCTCCACACTCACCAGGGCCCAAGGCCCCGCCCCCCAAGCCAACGCTGAATTCCTTATTTTACAATTTGTCCCCCTACCCCACTTTCAACCACGGCGGATCGACACCCTTGCTTGTTTGGGGCTTAGGTGAGAAAATTTGAGGAAATAGTACCTAAATGGGCAGAAATGAAATAGTTTTTTATATAGTAAAAATTCATCATCATCAAATCACAAGTAGGCCTATATAGTCAAAATGAAGCGCCAACCAATTTCTCATGATCTTTTGTCAGTGATTTTCGGCAAACAGCGGTCTGGTAACCCGGCCCAGGACAACTAGGCCTAACTATAGCTTAAGCTTTAACTACAATAATAATTATAACAATTGGACAAATTCCAAATTTCTTTTCGCTTTTAGCACAATTTTCTTTACTTTTTAGTATTATCAATATTATATAATTACCGTATCTATCATTGTTTTTATATTATCGTCATCATCGGTATTATTACTACTAGGCCCACTATAGTAGTATAATTATTGAACAAAACTTTATAAAAGCTAGCAAGAGGATGATAAAAACCAAACTGAACCATCATATCACATGTCTGTATCTTTAAAGACCTGGGATTGGATTTGGATTTAAGACGAATTTAAGCTGACTTGTTTATTAAGTAAGTTTGATAAATCCAACCCCATAAGCGGCAAAGCCGTTATATAATTCCGAGAATGTTATTTTTTGCATTATCGTTTATATATCGTTTATAATAGATGTTTATTATGGGTACTCTATTAGAGCAAGGGTCACAAACATATGATTTAGTAGAAAGAGTCTACTCTAAAGTATTTATTTATTTATTGTTTTAAATTGTAATCACATAAAAGTGAAACGTCGTCCTCGGAATTGATTATCATTATCACATAGCGTATGGTCAGCAAAATGAGTTATAACAAACCTTTTCTATGTATTTCTAATTTGCGTAAAAAAATTCGCGCTTAGGCCTATGTGTTATAATTATTATTGATGTATAAACGTGTGCTGATGCATATTTACATATTTTAGAAGTAATTTAGTGATCCCAGGAAAGAATTTGTTCTGGTTAGCAAAAACAAGCAATAAAATACTAATGTACAAAGCGGGAAGTGGGAGCCGCAGCTCCTA